CCCCAAAACCCCAAAACCCCAAAACCCCAGGTCCCATTCAAAACCTTGAAAATTCACTTTAAACCTAGAACAAATACGGATATTTCTTCTTGAACGCTTTCTTGATGTAGAGGCCTGAACGGGGCTCTCTAGAACGATTTTGGGGAGTTTTGGCTGTGGCTGTGGCTGTAGGGGGTTTGTGACTGGGAGGGTTTGAAGTGGGTGGGATTGAGGTGAGAGGGACGCTTATTGAGGGAGAAGGGGGTTTAGGGGTCGGGGTGGCTTGAAGAGGGGAGATTTTGGTGTTTTTGGTACGAGATATTGGGGTTTTAGGGGCGTTTAGATTGAGATTTTGTTGGGTTCGTGCTGTGAGCTTATTTTTGCTCCATTTTATTAGTTTTTTTATTTTTCTGATCATTTCTTTACTCTGGTGTCTCTGTTGGGAAATTACTGTTGGAAAATTATGTCGTGGAGATGAGTTTACTATAGTATTTATATTTATTTAGGTCTAGATAGATCACAGGCTAAATTTTTTTATAAATTTACTTTAGGATATTGGGATAATGATTCTATTAATCAGAACCAAACAAGAAACTCTTCGATTGCAATTTTTTATCTAATTGATAACAGAAGTTCTAAAAATTCCTTCTAATTCCAATACAATACAGTTCCAAATAATAAATTCTCCAAATCAATTTCACTCATTACATACCTTCATCATTACTCGGTCTAGCACTACCCTCATCCGGTTCCTCTCTACAATGCTCTCTAATCGTCTCTAAAGATCACAAAGTAATTACCCATCTTTCCGAAAATGTTGTTGACATGCAATTCTTTTTGTTCTTCAACAATAGATCTATGGTGTTAGGGCCAAGTTACTTTGTGCTATTCCTAAAGGAAGAGTTAGATATCAAAAGAGTGAAGTAACTTACCTAGGTTGACTTAAAACTTGACTGGAGTTCATCCTCCCCAGTGATTTGTTCATTGTAACCTAGAGATATAAAGCAGTCATATACATTTGTATTGTATGAAATGTTTGTAGCTCTTATTACTGTGTTTACTCTTTGCGTAGCCTAGAGTTAAACATCAAAACTACCTTCTTGTTTAGTACTGTCACTTTGGTAAGAGTATTAATTCTGAGCTTAAATCCAACTATGGGTTTAGATGAAGGAAAGCACTTATTGAGACACAGGTGAATAGGATGTTAGGGATTAGGATTAATATCAGAAATATCCTATTATGGTTCCTATCCCATTGTTTCTCCTTGTTTATTATCAATCTATAAGCAAGTTAGAATGTAAAGAAGGTGCGACCTTACCAGAATATCAAACATATGAGGATAAACAGTTCATTTGTAATTTCTCCAAAGTTATCTGTGAATACTTTATATGGTCTTATTCCAATGATATAGGTCAGATAGATCAATTGAATCGTTATGAGAATTGGAAATATTATGACTTTGTCCAGATCGTATGTTGATAATGCTATATAACAAAAGAAAAGTCTTCTGAACAACCAAATAACTATAAAAAATCTTGCAGGAGCAGAATCTTTTGTACCCATAAATAATAGTTTCGTATATCATAAATCTGTTAGACTTTCATATTGTCTGCTCTTCCACCATTTATAGATGGACAATATAAACAATGAGACTCAGATCAAGCATCAGAATAAAGAAAATATAAATGAGGTTACATTATCATCAAGTTTCGAAAAATTTTGAACTTCTTCAAGGCTAAGCATAAGAATAAAAATAAAAGAGGCTCAAATAATTTGAAGCCAAATTCCTGATAAGAATAAATTCTTTCCTTCTTTGAAGAAAGTGAATCTTTTACTATCAGGTTCGTAACGTTTACCACAAAAGTAAATCAAAATCACAAAAAATGAAATAATCAATATGAGGGATATAACGAACATGAAGTCTATAGCATTTGCGATAGAGCTTCCTGATTTAAATCCAAGCAAATAAAGATACCAATTTCCTTGCTTGTAATGAAATTCATCAAAAATGTCATCATGAGATGCAAATATCAAGTTATTTGGAATGAAGTTGAAGGAGAACAGTAGATCCTTGGTGTACCTAAAGAAGTCTATCACATCTTCTCCTACATCAATGTTCATCAAAGGTAAAAGCATCAGAATCTGTGTGTAAGAAATAATCCCAAGAGTGTTGTGTGATGGGGTTTTGCATTTCCAGAAAGATACCAAATTGATTATTAAGCCAATACTCATCACCACCAAATATGAAAAACCAAAGAAGTTTATATTATCAGAGATCTCTCTTGGAATTCAATCATTTTTGCTTTGATTTGGAATGTAACTAAGAGGGCAATTATGGCATATATCTTTAGATGTTTGAGATCCATTGTAGCATTTATAACTATGCTCTATGGTACATGATGAAGAACAACCATCTCCACTCTGAATATTACCATCATCACACTTCTCGTTTCCAGTCCTTAGTCCATCTCCTCAAAAAGCAACTCAATATTCAGGATTTAAAGAACTGTCTTGGTAATAACCTGCTGAACAATAAAATCAATAATCTCTGGATGTTGAAGATCCATACCTACAAACCCAATCGGCCTCAACTTGAGATCAGTCTGATGATCAACCATCTCCATTCTGAGTGTTGCCATCATCACATTTCTCAGATCCAGCCTTAAGTCCATCTCCTCACCTTGTTACACAAGTTTCAGGATTGGCAGCATCATTCTGATAAAATCCTGGTTGGCATTGTTGGCAGATATCTTTAGTTGTAGTAGAGCCTCCAGCTCATACCCAACCGGGCTCTACACTTGAACAATCAGACTTGCACCCATCAAAGTCGTTTGTATCATGATCATCTCATTTCTCTGTTCCTGCTTCAAGACCATCTCCACATCTGGTGACACAGTATTCAGGATTAGAAGCATCATTCTGATACCATCCAGATGTGCATTCTGTACAAACATCCTTTGAAAGCCCTGAACTGTAAAGACAGACCCAGCTAGTCTCAACTGTGGAGCAATCTCCTTTGCACCCATCAGAGTCATTAGTATTTTTGTCATCACATTTCTCTGTTCCTACCTGAATGCCATCACCTCATTGAGTCACTCATGTAGTTGGAATGGCTGCATTATTCTGGTACCAGCCTGTTGTACAGAAAGTGCATTCATCTTTAGTTGTAGTTGATCCTCCAGTGCATACCCAGCTTGATTCTACTTGTCAAGTAGAAGATCAACCATCATCATTTTTGGTGTTTCCATCATCTCATTTCTCCGTTCCAGCTTTGAGGCCATCTCCTCAAATTGTCACACAAGCAGTCTTAGCTGTGTTTGGATAAGTTCCAGCACTGCACTGAGTGCATGTATCAGCAGAAGTGGGAGTGCCGCCTGAGCATACCCATCCACTAGTAATTGAAGTTCAGTCAGAACTACATCCTCCAATTCCAGCTGTGCTTCCATTGTCTCAAATTTCTGAGCCTGCTCTTTTGCTGTCTCCACATGAAGTAACACATTGAGTTGGATAAGTTGAATCGTTTTGAACATACCCATTTCCGCACTGAGTTCATACATCTCTACTTGCAAATGTAGAGTTGGAGCAGACCCATCCAGCCTCAACTCCAGATCAGTCTGACTTACAACCATCATAGTTGTTGTTATTACCATCATCACATTTTTCAGAGCCAACTTGCATTTTGTCTCCACATTGAGAAACTCATGTTGTTGGATTAGAAGCTGGTGAAGGGTAATACCCTGGATAACAAAAAGTACAAGTATCAGCTGAAGAAGTTGTCCCTCCAGTGCAATACCATGATGATTCTACAGTACAGGAGGCACTACACCCATCTCCACTCCTTTTATTAGAATCATCACATTCTTCTGACCCTGCTCTTTTACCATCTCCTCAAACAGTTACTCAAGTTGGCCTGGATGAAATAGTTTTCTTTGAGTACCCAGACGGACATGCAACAGTAATTTGTTTAGGAGAATTAATGTATGTAGGGTAATAGAAAGCTGACGATGGTATAACTTGCCAGTTTTGACCAGGGTATTTCCATTGTATTTGCATTTCTGCTGAGTTAATATCTTCAACAAAGAAAGCATAGCCATTGTAAAACCTTCCACCTAAATAATGTTAGATCAATGATTACCTGTGAGACTAGCAGTTGCAGTTGTTGACCCTCATCAAGTTCTGCTAATAATTAAACTTCCATCTAGATAAAAATGGAGTTCATCATCAACATCGACATAAAAAGTGTATGTTCCCGTAACAGGAGGAAAAAATCTGAAGTGCATCTAAAGTTGAAATTAAGGAAAATTACCTTGATAGATGCATATCCTGATCTGCTACCGTATATAGCTCCAGTTCCAAAATCTGTATTAATCGCACTTTCATAGCTTATCTGATCGCGAGTACCTGTTCCAGACTTATTTGGAAAATATTCATACAGAATTTTTCCGTTTCGATATCTGATCACATTTATTGTAATTGCTCCTGGTCTTGATACTGTGTAAATGTATGAATAGACTCCTGAAGTATAACTCATTTCTGCACTGACGTCACTATTAAGCACTTGCTCTCTTCCAGAAGTAGCCACACATTCGTAATTTCCAGCAAATGAGCACTTATTCTTGATATCAGCAAAGTAACTGTATCCAGGAATATCTGTGACACTTATTTTGAAAGCAGTGCCTGCGATTACTGTTGACGTATTCAAGGCTATTAATAGAATATAAATTTTTATCAAAGAAATTATATCAAAGTCTTTTATACCTGCACAAAATTAGACACTTTATGCCAAAGTTCACTTAAGCCTCAAATTAAGATTCAAAGCAATTTATGTAGGGGATTGTAGCAGAGAAAATGACAGCCTTAAAAAGATGATTTGTAATTTTTCTGCAGAGAAGTATTTTCAATAATCAAAAGTCTAGTCGAAGTAAGTTTTACTCCTTCAGATATTTTAAATTCTCTGTTATTGGAAAATAGTAGGAAAAGTGAAATAGTTTGAAATGTTTCAATAATTCAAAGTATTCAGGTTCTAGAAATTTCTTAATATCTTTTCTTAAAACCAAACAAAATAATTGAAGATTAGTATGTGCTAATTATACAGTCATGGAATTGGGAACTAGTTCAAATAATGCGATCAATGAAGGCAAGCTGACTCAAAAGAATGCAAATTTACTGCAACTCTTCTGTTGCTTTATAGTATGATTATACAAAAGAAGCTATTTTAGAGAGAAAGATAGAGCCAAAACTTAGTTGAAATTTTTAAATAAACTCTTTTAAATCCAAATAATCATCCTAATTCAAACAAACAGTTTCCTCAAACCATCTCATAACCTCAAAAAAATTTACAAAATCCCTCAATTTCCCATCTCTCCCAAACCCGCTTCCTAAAATCCCCTCCTTAAAACCCCCTTCAAAATTCTCTCTCAAGACCCCAGCAAATCTCTCCTCCTAGCTCCAAATTCTCCCTCTGCCTATCCTCTCCTCCCTTCTAAATCTAAATTCCTTCACACCCCTTATTCCTGCTAATTCCAAAAATTTGCCCAGCTTAAGATCCAAGAATTTCTTAAAAAACAGTTTGTGCAGGTCAGAATTTAATACTTGACTTTTTAGGAACAGATTGGAGAAATTGGGAATAGAAGGTTGAATCGGATTCGTGATGGATATGGGGAACTTACAGATGGTCTGGAGGTCTCTACTGGTGTGGTTGAGTATTGGGCTAGAGGGAGTTAGAGAGAAGAGGAGGATAAGGGGGAAATTGGAGTGGAGGAGTTGGGAAAGAGTGTTTTTTATTGGAATTTGGAAAAATTGATTTTGGAGGGGAGGTAGAGTGTTTTAGAGGAATTTTAAGGAGTTTTAAACTGATTTTAGATGCAGCAATGGAGATTAGAAATAGGTTTTTGAGTAAAAGAGAAGTTGAGCATAAGATTGTGAGCTTCGAAGAGTTTATGATACAAATTGAGTTTTGGAACAAGGGCTTAGAGTCAATTGATGGTATCGATCCGATCATTTTTATGGTTTATCGAAAATATTCATACACAGGATTAATAACTTAAGATATTTTTATGAACAATTTTCTACCAAAATGCACAAAGTGTTTTTAGATCAAAATTGTTAAAAATATCTTAGCATCTGACTGCTAAATCATTTCCCATTAAATATCACCAAAAGATGCTTAATAACTCCAAGAAAGATCTTTATAATCTGCTCTCCATACAACTAAAAATTAAACAATATCAAAACAATATTGATTGATAAAGAAATTTCACAAAAAAACTTGAAAAATTACACACATCTCCCCACAAAAATTTGATATAGTTTGCAATGTTTAGCACAAAATTGGCACACTCGTAAATAACTTAAATTCCAAAGGAATTAGCTTCATTCTTGCTTTCCTAGCCCTATCACAGATGGTAAAAGGAATTGTTCTGCCTAGGAGCAGCCTTACCTATATTGTGCATCTTGTAAGTCAGGATCAATTATTGAGATCACTACTTTAGGCATCAGAGCTTCATTTTGTTCCATAAGGTCTATAGAGTATTAATTCCATCATTTTAGGGTATGTATTAACAAGAATTGAAACTTAGCAATCACATTGATGAATACTGCTGAAAAAGAAAATTTACCAAGCTCTGAAATTATTTGTGGATCAGGATCTTTGTTAATGGGCACAGTCTATATCTCAGCATGATTAGTCAGAACGCCAGGCGTGCCTTAGGCTCCACAATTAGTGAGAAAGCTCTCTGGTTGCTTTTTAAAATAGCTTTCTCATCAAACAATATGGTGAGAATTTATAACTTATTGGTCAATACTAATAATGAACGCTATGTCATAATGTCTTTCTGAATTAGCAGATAAATCGACAGAAAATAAAAATTCGCCAAAAACTTACTTGAGCAAGTCAGCAGCTTGTTATTAATATGAGAATCATCGCTATAATGAAGTGAGTTATCGAATGTAAGCCAATCTTGAGGAGAATCAATTCAGAAGTATTAACCACTTATAAACACTTACATCTCATTAGATTTATTTTCAGAATCTTCAAATGCATTCTATAGTCGAAGATTAAGCCTCTTCCTCTTCATGTATACCTTAAATACGATATATATAGCCCAAAATTCTTTCAAAATGTCATAAATTTACCTTATCATTCACTTCTAATATTTTATTAATACTTTAACTTCTCTCAATACCTTAATATACCTCAGGGGTTTTGGGGTTTTGGGGTTTTGGGG